AAATACTAAAACAGTGAAAATTGTGGCACTTTTCCTTGTTTCTCTAGTAGGAAGGCATTTTCTCAGCTGCTGGCTTCCAGTTATTCCAGTGTTACTCCACCAAATAACACAGCCTCTACGTTGGACACAGTGTGTGCACTTGAGAAGACTCTGCTGCTACACAATAAAAAGGTTCAACCATCAAGATCAGAGATGTGGTACAAAAGGAGTGACTTTTATATTTCTTCTTCAGTTCACAAAAGAGCATGTTTCCAAAGCACCTCTCAAGCACCCACACATATTGCAGAGACTGTGGTGGAAGTCCATGTCAAAAATGGCTTTTTGGTTTGTCACAAATTTGTCAGCCAAGGCTGAAAAAGACAACGAAGTTTAGCAGATATTTTTAAGTTCACCATCCGCACTGCTTACGGTTGGGACAAAGAAACAAAGAAAAATGCTGAGGACCAGGAGTTTAGAGCTCAATAATTTGAGCTACAGTTTGATGGAGGAAATGACAGACAAAGAAAGCGAGAAGCATTTACCAAAAGCAAAGGAAAGAAAATATGGTGGCAAAAATTTGGAATCAAATCCTATTTTCCAAAGAAGCTCACAGGTCTTAAACAATACTAAAGCTTCATGGATCTGGTACAATTCGAATAAGTTTCAAAACATGGAAAATTCCATTAGTCCCTCTTCACAGAGGAGGCAGTGACAACTATCATCTTTCAGAGAAAAAGAAACCCGAGGGAAAGACCTACAAATTGCAGTTTTGAAACAAACATCTTCATTCAGCATTTCCTTTTTTTTTTCAAAAATGTTTTCCATCTAGCATGAAAATTTTAAGTTGAGACAACATTATTTTTGGGAAAAGCTGGAGGGTATGTGTGGGCAATACAAACAGAAGCTTTAATGGAAAAAACTAGTCAGAGCATTAACAAATGACAGACTATTATCCTTCAGTAATGAACTGACATGATGGTACTTTCCCTTGCTTTTCTTTGTTTTTAAATAAAGGACACTGTCTGGCTGCCTGTTAACTACTACAGAATGGCTCTCAGTGTGCTTGCAATGCTGTAGTCACTCAATTACAGCAGTCACTTTTTATGTAAAAAGGGAACAAAGAAAAGTTGCATAAGGACAAACTACATGTTTCAAAGACTAAATATAAAAGTGTAATAAATATGTGCAATTAGACAATTTACAGAATTGTTAGGCTTGTGAATCTCCCTTTCTTTGTTTTTGTCCTATTAATTCTCACAAATATAAAAAGGCAACTTACTGCATTCAGTCCTATATGTCTAGGATGCCTGGAGAACTCAGTACAGCACCTAGGTCCAACAGGTATGGTAACTCTGGAAAATAACTTCATGCTTTTCAACAGTCAGAGGGAAGACATTTAAATGTAACTAAAAACATCTCCAAGATGCATAGTATATTAGGATCAGCAGTTACATGAAGAACCAGAACAACACACTAGCCTGACAAGAAAACCCTCTAATAAAAGAAAATCACTACATAATGATGATTGCATATGAAAAAAAATCAACTGAAAAGCAAAGGAATCAAAACTGTCTGTAAGGGATTTTAACCAAATGCACCATATATCTAGAATATGACATAAGTTTGTAGTGCACTAGTATGTCTGAGTTCATACAACCTCAGCAAAACTTTGCTCACAATTACTTCTGGACATTCCAGGAACATGTAACTTGTCTACAATACCTGACTTAAAACTTACATTAATGACATAAAAACTAGTAAGAATTTGACATGAATTAAACGACAAAAAAGAGATTGTTTTAAAAGAGGTTGTTTGTGAACTGTATCACTGCAGAAGTGTTAAATCATGCAGCAGGTTTGCCAGTTTCAGAGTCCTTACTGTGCAAGTCAGTCAATCATTGCAACTGCCCACAGTGAAAACAAAACAAAACAAAAGCTCCAGAAGTAAGGAATCTGCTTCTTCTTCCAGCTTTTGGCAGTTACCAAAAAATGAAATAAAACTGAAGTTTTCTTCTCTGGCCAGTCTGGCACAATGGTTTTCTTATCTTTGAAATTTCTCTTTGCAATTAGCATTAAGGCTTGTATGTCACTATCAAAGCAAAATGCCTTTCACAGAACCATAGAATCATTAATGTTGGAAAAGACTTCCAAGATCTCTGAATCATCTCATTCCCACCTACACTGCAGACCTATTTAAGTCTTTCACAGTTAAAGTTTGCAAAATCTTATCCTCTCAGGTCTGTGATCACATTTACCTCCAGCAGGGTCTAGATCAGGCATTATAAGTGAAGAGTCTGACATCAGCTGGGATTCATTTTAGCTCATTTGATTATCCTTCTACATGCTGATGAGACGTGGATCACGTGGGGGGGAACCAGTTATATCTCACCTGGAAAATCAAGACTCACACTATGTGTGTCCAAAACAGCTGCATTAATACCGTGTAGTATTTCCTAATTTTGCAGGGCTTGAAAAATACCAGACTAGTGGAAGTCATCCTTCACAAAGATTAGCATCCCCTCCCTTACGTGCCAAATTCCCCTTTCTATTTGGCCCATTCCCACGTCAGTGGCAGATAAACATGTCTCAAACTCTTGCAAACTCTTCTTTTAAAAGAAAAGCAAGCTGGGTGTCTTCTCCCAAGTGAGTATCAATTTGCAGTGGTCAAAGGCTGTGAATTCCAGTTGGAATTCCTTATTTATGCCAGAGGAATAAAATATGAAATACAGCCTTAATGTTCCCTAACAGCTGCCTTACACTTCAACTGATCATCAAGGTCTCTGTTGATATCCCACTCTGACATACCCAAACATTCTCATTCTCTTTAAAGATTACTTAAAACTCTTACCTCACAATCACAAATGTCTCTTTCAGATATGGAGGCCTAAATTTCAGGCATTACTGATGTTTACAGTGCCCAAGTTTCTCCACAAATCTGCTCCCAGTGTAGGGAGGGCAGCTTAGGACATGCAGTTTGGAATTAGAAGGAAAAGGCATTAAAGAGGAAATAATTAAATAACTGTGGGTTTCTTCGGTGGATCTATTATCTCCATCTTCTCAAACATCAATATAGAATGACAATTGTTCTTCAGCATAGTATGAAATACAAGATAAGTGTCATTATGGACTGCAGCTTAATGAACCTCTAAATTTAATTTTGTTCATAAACAGCAACCAGGAAAATTAATAAAACTACCTCTTACAGTAGCGTGGTCCTACCTTCACCACAGTCTCCATACCAGCTCATTTCCACACCATCAAGGAAACAATGATTTTCCCTTCCTCCTTGTTTGTTTCTTCTTTTGAGAAACTTCAACAGAATAAAACATTTATTCTATTTTCCTTTTCCCTCCACTATACAAAAAAAAATTATTTCTGAACATGATCATACTGTACTTTTAACTGCTCACAAAATTAACGTTTAGATAGCACTATTCACCCAAGACTTCTGTGGCACTTTTAAATTTCAATTAAATCAAGTACTTGTTTATTTTTTCATGCTTTGAGGAATTATAGGTGATTATTTAGTACTATCCTCACTTTATCAGGGAATCTACCAAAGAAACTGAGACACACAGTAGCTAAAGACCAGAGCCTGCTTAAATTTTCATGAAAATCTGCAACAGTGCCTTCACTGAAGTGAATGGACTTACCCTTACCCAGAACTAAGCTACTACACAGCACACAGCAGAGACCTAATCATTCCAATAGGCTCCAAGTACTGCTGTGGTGGAAGGAACAAAAGTGAAATCTGTATTCCAAGCCACAAACCTCTTCTCAATTTACCTGCTTATCATAAAGAATCAAATCATATTTTTAGCAAGAGCAGCCAGAGAGGGGTCAGAAGAGATTAAATAGCTATGCCAAGGTCATACAGGGTATTTGCAACAAAAAGCATCTCTGAGTCCAGATTTCCCAATTTCCAGAATACCATTTTAATCACTTGCACACCTTCAAATACCACTAAGCATAACAGTCAAAATAAATCCAAAGAAAATGTTCTGCATTTCCAGAAGTAGCCCAGCATCTTAAAGCATTGTGTATCTCATCAAAGGAACATTTCAACAGAAAACACAAAGCTGATTCTGCAAAACCATGAGGAAGCGATTCATATCAGGGATTCAAGCACTACCACCGAGCTCTTTTAACTCACTTCCCTCTGCTAACTAGATGAACTGTGCATCATACTGATGAGAAATGCAAAGTTAAGCTGAGTTGTTTCACTTCACTAGAGACCCTCTGACCAAAGAACTAAAGCATTCATTCTGGATATTTCCTACTGGAGTCATGTGGGAAAAGTTATTTTCACCATGCTGCTTTCTTACAACAGATGATAAATTTCTCTGCAACATCTGGACATGGGTAAAGTATGAATAAAGTACAGCATAGTCCTTTGCTTTTAAGGATTTCACAGAAACAAAGATGATCAATAACTCTGAGGATCAAGACCTGAGAAAAATCTTAAGTCTTTGGCTTACATTCCCTGCTAAAGGACTTGGGTCCTGATCAAGATGCAAAACAAAGAGGAACTTGTGATATAGTACAGAATGAGGAGGATGCAGGGAGAGAAGAAAAAGGTCATGAAATTTTACTGTTGGGTTGGCCAAAGAATAACAAACAAAATGGCTGCTCCAAGTTATAAAATATACTGAGGCTTACTCTGGGGTTCAGTGATGTAGTTACTACATTTCCTGTGGGTTCCCCTCTCAGACATATAGCACATTAACTAGATTTAACCATAAAAATTCTGGAGTATTTTCGTCAGCACTAGAGATCAATAATATCTTCTGGACAAAAGTGTTATTCTCCTCTTGCAGTCATAATTTTCTCTCTCACAAAAAAAACTGCAAGCATTTTCTGAGACTTATTTCTAATGAATGGCACTTAAGTTCACCCAACAGTTCATTCTGTTTCGCTTGCAGTGCCTACCTCTGTGAATTCTTACAAAACCTGTAAATATTGAAGCCATCAAGCACTCAATGTTATGGCCACCAGGAAACACAGAACAACCATGGACTTACGCAGCTCTTCACGGTGCCTCTCTGTCTCTGCAAAAAACTGGCGAAGCTCCTCTGTGATCTCCATGTTGCTCAAGTCATACTCTATCTCCCCTTCAGACTCAGAGTCTTCCTCCATTTCCGAGTCCCTTTCGGCATCTTCCTCCATTTCTGACTCCTCATCAGCATCCTGCCTCCCCTGGTGGGCACCTGTGTACTGCTGAGCTCCCCCATGGTATGGAGCTCTGCCATGTGGGCTACAGCTGGAAGAATAGATTTGGGTATGTGGGAGATCATTCCCATCCCAACCTGAGTAGTGGCTGTGTGGAGAGGCTGCAGAAGGATGCTGGGGTAGGTGGTAATAGGACTCCATGGCCTTCCTGTAGGCTCTCTGGTGTCTACGCATCCAGTCCATGGCTAAGTCATAGTGCCTCCAGTATCTTGCATACACTTTGTGAGAATACCATGGCTCAGTGTCTTCCTGTGGCCAAAAGAGGAGGGAGAGGGGAAGAACACAAAAAACCAACACCCACACCACCACCCCCAAAAAAAAAAAAAAAGAGAGAGAAAAAACAAACAGTAATTGAGGGGAGAAACACTGTAAATGCGAGGACAATTCTGCCTTTTAATCATCTTCTACCTATGCTAAAATAGACAGATTTAAAAAATGACAAGTAATAACACAGTGCACATGCATTACACTTCATTACTCCTATGAGAGTCTGGTTTTGCATCAACACAACTACCAGTGAAGAACTCGCAATAGAGAAGCTGTAATGTCCAGAAGGTATTTTCCCAGGTGTTTGTGCTACTACAGTGGCAACCAGTTCTTTTTAGGGAATATGCTGTGTGGATATATATATATATACCACAATGCCTTAGACACTAACATGAGTTAAAAGAACTGAATCATTCCAAGGTGTAGGTATTACAACTTACATCTGATTTTAAATCAGCAGACAGAAAACACCAGAGATTAAAATTCTGCCATATTAAACAAAGGCATTCACTTTATCCAGTAGCATATTTCCTCCATCTGCCTGCCAAAGAAAGTTCCTCAGAAAAGGTCAAATGGCAATTTAGACAAGTTCATATATCCATCATGGCCTCGATCAAAAAAACCCTGTATTTAGCCAAATGCAAGCTGCCAGTAAATCTCCCTTTTGTACTCATCAGCAACAACAACATGAAAAGAGGCAATAAAATGCCACTGATAAAGTACACAGAAAAGTAGTTCTATAGAAGGAAACATACTGTAACACACCTTCTCCTGTCTCCCAGCTAATCTCAGTTTGCCTGAAAAAAGTTTCACACTGTTCAGATTTCACCAGCAACTACAAAGCTCCACAGTCCCTTCAGCCTTAAGCTCTCTTCATACAGGCCATGTCATCTCCCTCCTCATCCTACTCTCAAAAAGCAGGATAATCAAGGATCTTAAAGTCATAAAGCAAACTAGAGTCTAGAACAAGTAAACTAAGCAGTAAATCTTTTTTTTCCTTTCTCCCACATTATAATTTCCATCGAAAATCATTTATCTGGGCTGAAATAGAATGCCTGTACTTTAAATCAGAAAATTTTAATTAAGCCATGTTTTGGCAAACACTCAAAACTATGGTAAGATTAGCTGAGGTTTTCAGAGATGAATGTGACATTTACAGTCCTTTATTAAGGCTTTTTGGTGGTTTTTTTAAAAGGGCATACAATACAAAAATCTTTCTTTAAGTGTGTTTTCTTGATCTGCACTGGCACCATTCAGTAGCCTTAAACGAATGATTCTCTGAAAAAAAAAAATCCCAAAGCAAAACAGAAAAACCAAACCTAAAAAATACTTTCAGTTTAATGCTAACACTATCAAGAGTGGTTAATCTAGTTTCCTTACATTTGTTCTCAGAAAATAATGCAAATCCTAGTGAGTTTGCAATAACAGTTGTAACTCTTATGCTGCTCTTCTTTCTGCAAAATTGAACCCATTGTCCCATATGAGACCTATAACTGTTTTCTCTTTTTAAGATCATTGGTAAATGCTCTCAGAAACATAATACCTTCAGCTAACAGAGTATATTAAGAAAACCCACCACAACAAACTGGTGTTTCTTAAGATGGTTCTGCGGCCTATTTGTGAATGGCTGTGAGGCTCAGCTACATGATTTAAAAGTGGAGACAACTTGTCTTTCCTTAAAAAGAATTTGTGGAGATAAAACTCCACTGTTATTCCCCTCTTGGATTAACATTGTGCTGTAACAAAATCATGCATTTTGGAAAATTTATTCCCAAGATGAGTGGGTGCAAGAAAAGCATCTGCCTTCCATATGGAATTTCTTCATCCTTAATCATCCAACTACCTAAAAGCTACGATGAACAATGTTTTATTTACTGTTTCCCTGAATGTCACACTGACTCCTCATTCTTCAGCAGCCAGATGAGAATGTCCTGTTATAAAATCTGATACATTCACAGGCTACTTTTAACACATTTTGACTATTCCTTATATACTAAAACACTTAAAAATCCAGTTTTGAAACACTATGAAGCCTCCAAAGCAGATAACTCCTGCATTCTATATATCTCCAAAAAGGCCAATGTATTATTTTAAAGCTCAAAAAATTATCTCCAGTTCTTCTAAAATGTTTCTAAAAAGGGCCTTGAGGACTTTACTGAAAGCTCTGGAATCCAGTTGGTTGATCTGTCTTGCTGACTAGCTCCAGTTGTTAATTTAGGGGAAAGGAAGACAAAAAGCCAGTTCATATAGACAGAACTGTGATGCTGGTGCTCATCCAACTACTTTTTGTTGGAAGTGACCCTTGAAAACCTCTCTTACATTTGAATTTTAAAAATACATCTGTCAAAAAAAATTACAGAAAGGTTTTACATGGGGGTGGAAAAGGGAAAGGAACACTTTCAGTCTAACTTAGTTCTGTGTCTGTGCTTTTTCAGCTGTGGAATAAATGGAAATAAGAGATTTCCTCAAGGAAACAAAAGCTATAAATCCAAGGCAAATGATCAGTCCTCTGTTATTTTCCTGTTATGCCTCTGTAGTCTTCCCAGGAATAGACAAATCGCTCATTGTTGTAATCTGAATTCTATTTTCAAAGCAATTTAGCTACTTTCACATCTAATTTTTACATGTCTGCACTCACAGTTCAATACAAGCATTTATATGTATTTTGTCTATAACATGTGACCAGGTTATCACATAGAAACCCACGAAAACCTCTTACCATCTCTTGTGGAGTCTGTTCCGGTGATCAAGGCAAACTAGAAAAGAAAACAGTACCTTTTTAATTCATAAAAATATACATACTAAGATGGTCACAGGCACTGAATACATTTTTGTTATATTTGACTAATATGCCCTACAGCTATTAAATATCCCTTCTCTGCTGTGGTTAGGTGAAGTCTCTTATTTATAGATGCTGATTAGCATCAGTAAAAAACCCATTCTTTACAATTCCCCACTACAGTAAGAAAGTTAAAAGGGAGCGTTCTGCACAGTGCAGCCTAGAATACTGGAACTGAACACTTCATCCTCCATTAGCCTTCTCCTTTCTATTTTCTCCCACACTCTATGCTTCTACAACCTTTAATTTCAAAATTAATGCCAAACAAAAATCATCAGCTTCAAGGAAACATACTGTTCTCACTTTTTAGTGGTGTCTGCACAGGGATTTGTATAAAAGAAGCAATTGCCATAAAATGATTAAACCCACCTTGACTCCACTCAAGTAGTAAGGTTTCTGTTTAAACCTGTGGTGCACTTATAACCACATACAGTTCCTTCTTTCACTTTATTTCTCCTTTTTTTCCCCCCAGCATCTAATCATCTGATCCTGCCTCTCATAAAGAAAACACAACTCAATTCAGGTTACAGTCACGTATCTTAAATGTGAGGAAAACACTAAAGGAAGAGGGGCAACTGGAAGAGAAAAAAAAAAGGATAAAAGGGCAGGGAGGGGGTAGAGAGGGAAAACAAGACATCTATAACCACCAAGAAGAGTTTATAATTACCAACATTTTCAGTGTGATTTACCAGTACAAATCACTGAGAAATATTCTGAACCTTCTCCCTACCTGAATTATTTTATTACACTGCTTCATCCATATATTTCTCCTGACCCTCTCACCCTCAACTTGACCTTTGTTAGGTGAGTGCCAGAGAAAGGTAAGAAAATACACTAAACTACATATTGCACCACCTACAACATGGTCAAATGCTATTCCCAGAAATACTGGAATATAGCCAAGGCAGCACTTAAAACTGTTGTAGATTTATACCAGCATACAACTAGGATTTTTCAAAATGCATATGAAGACAATACATAAACCAGTTGTGTTCTGCCTCATACTTAACAATACTGATGAAAGAGCAACTTTTTGCCTCTTGAGACAAGCCATACTGTGAGAAAGGGGGATGGGGTGGGCCATATTCAAAGAAAATGCAAATCATGCAGCTCCTACAAACGCAAAATGCTGTTTCCCAAAGCCCACAATAAGCTCAAATCCATAAACCCCTGGTCACACCAACCTCTCTACAAGAAGCTCTACACACATGAGCAGTTCCACTGCAATCAATGGGATGACCCACGCCAGGAAAGGCTGCAGGTTCAGGTATTAGGCAACCAAAATATGCAAGGTCGCTGCATTCTCTCCTGACTGCTTGGACAAAGAAGGAAACCTGGCACTGAGGTCACCGCAAACACTGCAGTGACCTGCAACACTTGAAACCCACACACATGTAGAAGATTCCTATGTTATCCCTCTTTGTGCATTTCAAACATCTCATTTCCAACAACAGCTTTCTTTAAAACTTTTATCTCCACTCTCAGGACATGCACATATACTTTTTGTCCCTTTCCCATACACATCTGGATACTGTAAAGTTTACCATAATGTGTTTTTCTCATACTAAAAAACCTAAGCCCATGGTAACTGATTCTTTCATCTTTCACTTCAGAAGTACATGTGTTCAATTTCCATGTTCATTCTATTTCCTACGCAACAAAAAACTCTTTGAAATAGCTTCAGCATAAACAGAAATCAGGTTTAAGCTTAATGTAAATGTTTTTTTTTAAACAGTAACTGGTGAAGTCTGATAGTTTATTATTAGTACACAACATGTACATATGCTTTCTTAAAGGAAAGGAGGGGAAAACCCTGGCAAAACTATCCAACTATATTAGTTTACCAAATATGAAAAACCTGTTTTGCCAAACACAGAAACCTTAATTATTTTCATAAATTATTTATGAAACATTAGACTACAAATATAAAGCAGAGCATAATAATGCTGCAAGCTGGGGCACTAAATTAAAGTATGAGTTGGTTTTATTTTCAGCTGAATTACTCTTCCAAAACAAACTTCCTAAAATACAAAACATGGCAAGCAGTAGAAAATAAATGTGATAGCTCCGCTTCTAAAATTTATACTTCTAAAAACAAAATATGGAAGCAACTGAACATATGAAACGCACCAGCAAATGCTGAATTTAAAATGAGAGATTTGTTTGCCTATATTGATCATTAATGATGGAGTTTGAAGATAAATGTTATTTGCTTCCTTTTCCCGATTTTAAAATATTCTCCACTGATAACTAACCAGGGATGTACTTCCTTTCATCCAAGCACAACTGACCTGTACCAACCTGAGGCAGGTAAGCATTAGTGAAGCACTAATCCACACAACATTAATTAACCTGTTGCATTGCATTATAATAAAAACATATGACGTTTTTAAAAGGAAGGTGAAATTTCAATAGGCTCAGCTGGTTTCAACAGAACACATTTATACAAAGCTTTCCTGAAAACACAAGCTACATTTAATTTGGCAATGTCCCAAGTAACAGAGAGCTGATCACTCCCTCTGCCCACTGCCACTCTTGTCCCTGCTGTGTCTTCAGTCAGGCTACAGCTGTCTATAACTCACTATCTGGATTGTGACAATGGTAAGAGATGCTCAGTAAAATATGACATTAGAATATGCATACAGGAATTATGTTTCCAAGTACATTTCTCCTGATTTCAGCAAGTGGCAGTTCAGATACTTCTTTTTTAACTCCAAACGGATTGGTTTTGGCATTTAAAGCCAGAATGTGTCATTTTTCTAAACCCACGAATATTAAATGTTTTCATGACATACCATCCAGTAAGTTTCACAATTTAAGGCATGAAACATCAATTTTGAGTGTGTATTTTGAAGTCACCCTACTACAGACTGGCTAAAAAGATGCGAGTTCAGCAAGAAATGCAAGCCAGTAAACACCACCAATACTGTGCATTCTCCCATAAACACCCATATTATATTTCTAGTGTTTTACTCTTGGTGCAGAATTACCACCAGAGAAGGGAAATGCCTGAAGTGGTTTGACATTCTGTGCTTCAGATTAGCACTGTGCACAGCTAGTCCATGACGTTACGTTTAATACTGAGGCGCCCCAGTTACAGTCACGCAGAAATAAAGCCTCTGATTGCTGAGACAGTTGGCAGGAACTGTTACTTCCCTCAAACAAGACAAAGGGTAAAGTTCCTAAGGCTACACAGCACATTCTAGTTTGTGAATTCACTTGTACAGTACTTAAGATACAGTTACGGATGTTTACCATCCCAATAAGAGTGGCAGTTGTTCAGTTTAGACCCACCTATGCTGGTGTACACATCAAGGTCCTCACAACAGCAGCAGCAATACCTGTGACCAGAAGAAACAAATTACACATAATTTATGTTCAGGGATAATCCAAATTTAACTGCTAGACCTGCAAACAAAACACAAACTTTAAGGGATGCATTATGGCTCTTTTGGCGTGAGCAGAGGCTGAGACAGTGCTGCTGCTCCCCAGAAGAGGGATTTTGAGTTCCGGGACACAACCTCAAAAGCTAATTGGGCCAAAAAATCCCAGCTCAAAAGCAAAGAGCTACAGGCTGTACAATGAGCAGTAGCCCTGTTAGCTCACGTCTCATAACAAAACACAAACTTTAAGGGATGCATTATGGCTCTTTTGGCGTGAGCAGAGGCTGAGACAGTGCTGCTGCTCCCCAGAAGAGGGATTTTGAGTTCCGGGACACAACCTCAAAAGCTAATTGGGCCAAAAAATCCCAGCTCAAAAGCAAAGAGCTACAGGCTGTACAATGAGCAGTAGCCCTGTTAGCTCACGTCTCATGCATGGCTTGTCAGCCATAAAGGAGGAAGAGAACAAAACTTCTCCGCTACAGCTTCTGAAGGCACAATTCATTGCCTGGTGGCACAGATGTCGTGCCCAGACGCCGGACAGTGACTTTAAGGCTCCCAGAAGCCACGAGCAG